CTCCGTGGCGTCTCGAGGTCATCCGGTGGCCCAACTTGTAATCTTTGTGGGCGAGCAACGACATATGTACATGTACGCCCTTCGCGGCCTTGCCTGCACGAACGTCCGCGTTGACACGCACTCCAGGGGAAACTAACTGCGTACGTGTAAATATGTTGCTGGCCTCTGACTTTGTGGTCTGATGTGTGCTCCCGGGGTTCACAGGCACGGAGGGCCCAAGCGGCTGCCCAGAACGAGAGAGCACGACCCAGCACCACCAGCCAGCGTCCGCCGCCGCCGCCGCCGCCGCCGCCGCCCCTCCTCATCCTCCTCCTCCTCCTCCTCCTCCTCCTCCTCCTCCTCTTCCTCCTCTTCCTCCTCTTCCTCCTCCTCCTCCTCCTCCTCTTCCTCCTCCTCCTCCTCCTCCTCCTCCTCCTCCTCCTTCCTCGTCCCCCTCCTCCTCATTCTCCTCTAACTCCCCCTCCCCCTCCCCCTCCCCCTCCCCCTCCTCCTCCTTTCCCTCCTCCTCCTCCTCTCCTCCTCCTCCTCCTCCTCGAGGCCTCTTTCGTCTCTTCCCGCTCCGCTTCTCCCCCCCCCCCCCCCCGAGCGCCTCCTGGCTCCCGCCGGGGCGGGGCGGGCGCGGGCGCGGGCGGGGCGCGGCCGCACCCTCTCTCGGAGCGGCAGGGCGGGCGGTCGGGGACGGCTCGGGCGCTGCCAGGAGCGCCCCTGGCCCGAGTCGCCCCCCAGGATTTCCAGGGAGGCCCCCCCGGCCTCCAGATCTGGGGGAACGAGCAATGACATAAACATAAAAACTCGGAGGTCCGCGCGGATCTCTCGGATCGCGCTGGACCCCCCTGGCGGCGCCTCCGGCGCCGCCCCTGGCGCACTCCGTGCGCCAGGGAGGGGGGTTCAGCACCGATCCGAGAAATCCGCGCGGACCTCCGAGTTTATGTTTATGTCATTCTCCGTTCCCCCAAGATCACCCCTCGCGAGGCCTGGAGAGCCCCATGGGGCCCCGGGCATGGAGCGAGAGGCGGGGGACAACAAAAGGTGCCCCCGGCTGCTCGCCCAGTTGGGCAGGGAGCACTCCTGGCAGCAGCCGAGCGGCGGCAGCGGGGCGCCCGGCGAGGAGCAGGCGGGAGCGGGATGCCGGCGCAGGGGGGGGGGTCCGCGGGGGCTCTCGCTTGCTTCGCGTGGCTCGCGCGTGTTTGATGTTTTTTGTTTCGCCTGGTTCTCGCGCGGTTCTTCTGCGTCTTCTTCGCCCGGGAGGCACCCCAAAGAAAACACCATGCACGGCCACTCCAGTCCTCGGGGAGCTTCTGACCTGGGTCAGTCCAGACTCGGGTCAATCAGGCCTTGCAGTCCTTTGCAAGATCCTGCATGATCCTGAACCCAAGCCCGGGTCGATGCGCCCCTGGCGCTGCAGTGTCCTGCATGATCCGGCGCTCTTGCACTGACCCCCCGTCTCTTGAGCCCCGGCATCCTTCGGTCGGACTCCCACCGGTTGCCTGGTGGGACTCTGCTCCAGGCTCCGGGGCCTGCTCGGCCGCGGGCTCGAGCCGAACAGGCCACGGATCGGCCACGCGCAGAGGGGGGCAGAGGGAGGGGGGGAGGCTTCTCAGAAGCACCCCTGCTTCTCAGAAGGCGTGGGCCCAGTCTGCAGAAGCAGCCCCCTTCTAAGAAGCCTTCCCCCCTCCCCCTAAGTAACCCCCCTCTGCGCGCCGCCACGTGGAACTGCACCGTGCGCTGCCGGTCCAGAGCGGCGCCGGCCGTGGCAGTCTCTGCTCGGGCGGGCGGCCGAGGCGAGGAGGCGGGGAGGCAAGCGAGGAGCACGCGATCCAGGGGCGATTCGGGCTCGATGCACCTCCCACTTTGCCCATCTCCGATCCCCGTCCAATGTTTCGGCTCTCTGGAGGCCGCTGGGTACGATCCGGGCCCCCGCCGGGACGTCCTCGGCGAGCAGCCGCAGCCGTCGGAGAGGAAGGCCTCCAGGAACCAGGGCACATGAACCCCCGAACGCCTATCGATGCCCCTGGCGCTGCCCCCCCCCGAGCCTACGCCAGGGAGCTTTTGCCCAGCGCGTCGCGGCGGCGGCCCCGGCGACGCGCTGTGCCCTGCAAGCGGACAGCGAGCGTGTCGCGCTGCTCCGCTCCGCGTGGCCAGAGGCCGAGGGGGGCTCGGAGAGGTGACGCTTGGGAGCGAGGGCGTGGCGCGGCTAGTCGGCGTGTCGCGCCAGAGCGTGGTGGGCCAGAGCCAGCGGCTCGGCAACGCTGAGCAACGGATCCCGCCCGCAAGATAAAGCAGCGCCCCAAAGAGGTCAGAACGTAAACACACCGAGCCCTCCTCCTCCTCCTTCTTCTCCTCCTTCTTCTTCTTCTTCCTCCTCCTTCTCCTTCCTCCTCCTCCTCCCCCTCCTCCTCCTCCTCCTCCTCCTCCTTCTTCTTCCTCCTCCTCCTTCCTCCTCCTCCTCCTCACCCCACTGACATGTGCCTCGAGCCAGCTGCTCCCCGAACCACCCGTGCCGAGTTGTCCGTCCAGGCCCGGTGCTCGACGGCTCCCCGCCGCAGTTCTGAGGCCCCTTCGCTTTGGCACGGGCGAGGGCAGCAGCCATCGATTTGCTCGCGTGGGGGTCCACTCCTCCTCCTCCTCCTCCTCCTCCTCCTCCTCCTCCTCTCCTTCTCCCCTTCCTCCTCCTCCTCCTCCTCCTCCTCCTCTCCTCCTCCTCCGTCTCATCATCATCATCATCATCATCATCATCATCATCATCATCATCATCATCATCATCATCATCATCATCATCATCATCATCATCATCATCATCATCATCATCATCATCATCATCATCATCATCATCATCATCATCATCATCATCATCATCATCATCATCATCATCATCATCATCATCATCATCATCATCTCTGGCCCTTCGAGAGACTGCGGGACGCAGTCGTGATAGTCTTGGGAGCGGTGGGGAGCGCGAGGACTGCAGCGAGGGTGCGCGAGGAGGCCTTGAAGTGGTGGCTCAGGGGCGCCTTGGCCCCGTCAGTGGGCCCAAGCTCCTGATGCCACCACCCTATCAAGCACAGTTGTCGCAAGCACCCGTCGCGGTTCGCACTCACCGTCGGGACAATCGTAGGGCCGCGAGGGCCGCACGGCTCGGGCGGGGGGGGCGAGCATGCTCTCTGGCGTGGGCGCCGCCTGGAAGGTTCTGACCATGCGGGCCCCCTTGCCGCCTCTCACAGCTTTGCCTGCGCCATCGCCAGGTTCAGCATCACCTCCTCGCTGCCTCCTCAGGGAGCCCCCAGAGACAGTACGGCAGGTCCGTGCCGTGCCGACTTCGGTGTTGGTTCCTGACACCGCGGGGATCGTTACATCTAGACACGTCGGACCGTTCAACCTCGACCGATTCTGGGTCGCCCCGCGGAGTTCCACGTGGAACGCCGGCGGCGGGTTCGCTGCAGGTCGAGCGGCGGCGCCTACCGTACCCCCTTGGGTGGAGCCCTATCGACGCTCTCTCGTTTGGACGCCCGAAATGGGTACGGAAAGAATGGGCACTATGCCGCATGCCCAACAACAAATGTTGTCCCAAGCCAACAACGGCCGCTGTTGGGCAGGCGGCCTTCTGTCTCGAATGGACACAGGCCGCGGCGGCGTGGACAGCGACTCCTGTTCAAAATGAACAGGAATTGTTGTTGGGCATATTGTACCCATTCTTTCAGTACCCATTCCGGGCGTCCAGATCTCGGGAGGGGCGCCGCAGTCTGATGGGCCCCCAGGCGTCGCCGGCGGTGCTCTCAACGTTGGAGTGCCGTCGGCGGGTCGCCGCCAGCCGTGCGAGCCTGCCCCCTGGCCCCCGCAGTGGATCTCCCCGCTGGCGGGCGGGGGGCGAGAGGCTCTGGCGAGTGGGGGGGGATAGGCGCGGCCGGAGGGGCGGATGCGGGCAAGGTTCGTATCCATATCCAGTGCGTCGTGGATTTTTTGGGAAGGAGCGTCACAAGGCCGAGGCGCACTGGATATGGATAAAAATCGAGCCTCTAGGGGGCAAATTTATCCATGTCCAGCGCACCTCTGGTTTCTGGGGAAGGGAACCCGAAACGCCATATCGCAGTGGACATGGACAGAAGTATTGCCTGCAGCGGAGGCCGCAGGGGGGGGCCCCTCTCTGGGGAGCTCCCCGCGCCTCCGATGGCCATCACCCGCACCTCGCGGTAGATCCGCTCGATGCGCCCCCCTGCGCCGCCGCGGGTAAAGCTCTGGCCCCCCAGGATCTGGCTGGCCTCGCGCGCGCAGAACTCCATGAGCTTGGAGCCTCCGACCTTCACGAGGGAGATGTAGCCGGCGAGCTCGTGGTCGGGGACCCCGGACTTCACCTGGTAGGTGTAGTTCTCCAGTGCCCGCTCGGTGCCCTCCAGCCCCCTGGCCATCTCGGCGATCTTGTGCCGTATGACCTGGTGGTCGATGAGCCGCTTGCCGAACGTCTTACGCCGTCTCGCGAACATGATCGCGTCCTCCACGCAGATGCGTGAGTACCTCAACGAGTGGGCCACCATGGAGAAGCGCTCGTGGTTGAAGTTGACCATCGCGTACATGAAGCCCCAGCCCTCGCTCCCGACGAGGTTGCCAACGGGCACCCTGACGTCCTCGAACTCTACGCGCCGAGAAAACACAAAGCTGCGTCAACATGAACTTTCGGAGCTTTGCGCGGAGTTTTTTTTTATCTGAGCTGGACACCCCTCCCCGGCGCGCGGAGCCCGCCAGCGGCGGCGCTGGAGGCGCCGCGAGGGGGGCCCGGGCGCCGACCCAAGAACTCCGCGCGCAGAGCCAACAGTTTATGCTTGTGCCGCCTTTCCTTCCTCGAATGTATGTGGTGCTCGAGGCCCACCAGCCCTGCTCACGAGCGCCGGACATATCCATGTCCATGCCCTCGCGGTATGGATCCCGAGGCGCGATCTCGTGGATACGCGGTGCCACGGGTACGCTCCGCGCGGGGCATCCGCGAGCAAAAACGCCCCGTATCCACGGGATCGCGGCCCAGAGCTCTGGCCCGCGAGGCCGCGGACACGGGTATACCTTCCGCCCGCGGCCTGTGTCTGCATGCGCCTCATCTTTATGCCGGGCATGCCTCGCTCGAGCACGAGCATGCTCGCGCCGCTGCGGCCCTCGCCGCTGGATCCAGTGCGGACGAGGACAGTGAAGAAGTCGGCCTTCAGCCCTCCCGTGATCCACTTCTTCGCGCCGTTGACCTGAAAGACAAAGCGGCATGCAACTGAACTTTCGGAGCTCCGCGCGGATCTCTTAGATCGTCGCCTGGGCCCCCCCCTGGCGGCGCCTCCGCCGCCGCCCCCGGCGCGCCAGGGAACGATAGGTCCAGCGCCGATTCCCGGACCCCTCCCAGTAAAACAAGGCTAGGATCGGGATAAATCGCTCCAGAGCGTTCCGGAGTGCTCTCAGAGGGTTCCGGAACGCTCTGGAGCGGCCGCGGCGCCCAATACATCCTCCAAACCCGCCGATTCTCAGAGATTTCGAGTTATCCCGATCCGATTTTGTCCCGATCTTCGCGTCGTTTTACCCAGGATCCATCTGGTGCAGTTTCCCACCCCGGACCCGCTCTTCACGGCCACTGGGGCCCGCACGCGGGGCCCGAGCCCAAACCTCGAGCCTGCCCGCCCGTCCTGCGAGCCGGAAGCGATGCCGGGCCACCCCAGCCTACTCCAAACCCCGAATGCCTACTCCAGATTTCGTAACAAAAGGGAGGGGGTCTCATTTCGGGGGGGGGTCTCTTCCAGGCTATCTTGGAGGGCCTGGGGGGGGTCTGGGGACGATGTTTTGGAGGGTTCTCCCACGAGGGGGGGTCTGAAATGGCTTGTCTTGGAGGGTCCAGACCCCCTCCCTTTTATTACGACATCTGGAGTACCGATCTTTCTCGTCCGGCGACCACGAAGAAGTCCCCCTCCCGCACGGCCGTGGTCTGTATGGCGGCCACGTCGGAGCCGCCGCCCGGCTCCGTGACGCACAGGCAGCAGGTCTTCCTCCCGGTGACGCACGGGGGGCCGACCCGGGCCTTCAGCTCCTCGCTGGCGAACGCCAAGATCGGCGGCAGGCCGATGCCCGTCGCCCCGAACACGCTCACCTGGGGTGGGGAGAACACCGCAGCGCATAGAATGGCAGTCCTCCTCGATTGCAGGGAATCCGCGTGCCGCTCCTGGAACCGCGCCTCGAGTTCCAGGCGTGGCAATTTTTCCCCACCGCGCGCTTGAGAAGCCTACTAGATGGGGTCCGAGTAGACGGGGTCGGAGGATCGCGCCGCATCGCCGATGCATCGGCCATGCATCGCCGACGTCGGCGACGCATCGGCGACGTCGGCGTGGAGAACATCGGTCTTCGCATCGAGCCGCGTCGTCGATGCATCGGCGATGCGGCGCGATCCCCCGACCCCACCTACTCCGGCCCCATCTCTGGCCATCGCTCGGACGTCCATTCCCTGCGTTTTTTCGGTTTCGTGCGTGTTTTTTTCGCCAAGCGATCAAATCAAGGATGCTCCTCGATGGCTATCGCCAAAGGTAAAATACGCACGTCCGAGCGATGCCAAAATCTGGGAGGCTGAGGCGCTTTCGCCTGACCTTCGGGGCACGGGGCCATGCGCAGAGCGATCCGGCTCGGAGAATGCCGCAGACAGGTGGGGTCCAGGGCCTCATTCTGTAATTTTTTCGCGGCGTTGCATCTTGTTCGCAGCGTCGGATCCCAGGAGAGTCTCCGCTCCGTCGGCACCCGAGGGGCCCCAACTGCACCGTGGAGCCAAGTGGCGTGTGGGGGGGGGCGGGGCGGGCGATCTGCAGGAGGGGGGGGTCTGTAGGAGGGGGTTGTCTGTAGGGTGCCCGAGGGGGGGGGGGAGAGTCTCGGGGATCTGTAGGAGGGGGGGTCTGTAGGACCCCCGAGGGGGAGTCTGTAGGAGGGGGGGGGGTCTGTAGGTTCCACAGGAGGGGGGCAGGCGACGGGCCCTGAGGGAGACGAGCCATGGAAGAAACGAAGCCTGGACCTCCCAGGGCCCCCAAGTCACCCGTCTCCCTGACCCGTTTCCGAAGATCCGACGTATTTGTGTTGTTGTTGTTGGTGGTGGTGGTGTTGTTGCTGTTGTTGTGGTTGTGGTTGTGGTTGTGGTTGTTGTTGTTGTGGTTGTTGTTGGTGGTTGGTGGTTGGTGGTTGGTGGTTGGTGGTTGGTGGTTTGGTGTTGGTTGTTGGATGTTGGTTGTTGGTTGTTGGTTGTCGGTTGTTGGTTGTCGGTTGTCGGTTGTTGGTTGTTGGTGGTTGGTGGTTGTTGTTGTTGTTGAATAGTATTACTTCTAAAAAATAATTATTGTTGGGCCCCCTGGTGCACGCCCCCCTCGCCGCGCCTAGGCCGCAGCCACGTTTTCATAATTTTCGTGAGGAAGCCTCAGGCAAAACGATGTGCACCAGATCCGGTTGTTTTGTTGACGCCCGCTTTCCCTTGCAAACAATAAGCTGAAGTGGACATTTCTTGTTCTAACATATCCAAACTTCAAGAATCCCTTTCAAAAAATAAGGTAAAGTGGACATTCGCGCGCGCAAGACGAAATCCTTCCAAAACCTTAGTTTTCGTAGCGCTTTTAACATAAAAACATAAAAAACCAATGTTTTTTTTATAAAAAAAATGTCAAAATTTCATCCCGCGCGCTCTTGCGGATTCGTAGGAAACCCAACACTTTTTAAACATTTCTGTCAAACGGGCTTTTGCTAGCAACTTTTTCGAACTTCTGCAACAACGGTTGCGCACCTGCCAGGGCCATCATCCCTGTCAAATAATACCATGCGGGACACATTCGTTTTTTCTTCGCGCGCGCACGCCGTCGTCGTCGGCCGCGGGGCCCTGAATAGTAGCCACGGTCGTCCGCATGCCACGAAGTGAAGTGTCCGAACGTCATAGGGCGGGAAGCTGGGTGTGGGTGGTGGCGAAGAGTCGTTTGGAAATTTGGTAGAGCTTGAACCGGCCCCCCCACAAAGTGGGGGTATTGCCCGCCTCCTATGAAAACCCTGGCACTGGTGAGAACGGAGTGTCCCCACGTGCTAGTAATTGTTGTTGTTGTTGTTGTTGTTGTTGTTGTTGTTGTTGTTGTTGTTGTTGTTGAATTCACAATTCTGAAGAATAATTATTGTTGATCACCCCTCGCCGGTGCAAGCTGTTTTTTCTCAATCAAAGTGTGCCCCTCGACGCTCGCACCCTGTTTTTTGACAGGGAAAGTCTTCCTGCTCAAACTTGCCCCCTGGCCCGCGGGTTACAACAACAACGGTTCCCGCCTGAGAATTCCTTACAATTTAGGCAGGACCCCCGCTCCCGCCCGAGACTTCGTCGCATTTCATTCAGGAATCGCGCTCTCGCTTGGGACTTCCTTACAAATTATTCAGGAATCGTTTTCCCGGAGCTCTGGAGTCGCGCTCTCGCTGGGGACTTGCTTGCAACATACTGAAGAATAGCGTTGCGTTGGGATTTCCTGCGACCTGCCCAAGCGCCGCGCTCCCGACACTTAGGCACCCAAGAGACGCGCCCGTTGCGGCCCCATGTGCATGCCCTTCGTGGCCCCGCTGCCGCCATTTGTGTCCCCCTCATTGTCCTACGTGGCCCAGTTGCTACCCTCAGTGGCCCCATAGTTGCCTTCTGTGGCCCCGCATTATCTGCACTTCGTGGCCCCCGCTCGTTCGCACTCTTCGTGGCCCCATACGCATTCCCTTCGTGTCCCCGCTGTCGCCCTTCGTGGCCTACTTCGTGCCCTTCGTGGCCCTGCTGTCGTTCTCTCTCGCTCTCGCTTTCGCTCGTCGTCGCCGTCGTCGTCGTCGACGTCGTCGTCGTCGTCGTCGTCGTCGTCGTGTCGGTCCCCTGTCTGTCCCTCTTGGGGTCGGGTCGACGGTCCGCGGCCGCCCCGCCGATCAGCGCTGCCGCTGGCCAGGCCGACGGTCCGCGGCCGCCCCGCCGCTTGCCGGGGCCCGGCCTGCAGGGAAGAAAGGTATACCCCCCAAAAGGGGTTCGATCGAAGACGAAGAGGGCGGGTATCGAGGGTTTGGGAAATACGCGTTATTCGACACTCGAGCATATAAGGGCGAACAGGCTTAAAATGATTGTTGTTGTTGTTGAACATTATTAATTCTAAAGAATAATTATTGTTGGGACCCCTGGTGCACGGCCCCCCTGCGCCGCCTAGGCCGCAGCTACATTTTCATCATTTTCGTGAGGAAGCCTCAGGTAATACGATGTCATCAAGATCCGGTTGTTTTGTTGTAATCCGTTTTCCCTTGCAAAAAACACTATAAAATGACATTTCTTGTTCTAATATAATCAAATTTCAAGAATCCCTTGCAAAAAATAAGGTAAAGTGGACATTCGCGCGCGCAAGACGAAATCCTTCCAAAAGCTTAGTGTTCGGAGCGATTTTAACATAAAAACATCAAAAAACCAATGGTTTTTCAACAAAAAAATGTCAAAATCTCATCCCGCGCGCTCTTGCGGATTCGTAGGAAAACCCAACACTTTTTAAACATTTCTGTCAAACGGGCTTTTGCGAGCAACTTTTTCGAACTTCTGCGACAACGGTTGCGCACCTGCCAGGGCCATCATCCCTGTCAAATAATACCATGCGGGACACATTCGTTTTTTCTTCGCGCGCGCACGCCGAAATCTCCAAAAACCATTGTGTTCTTAAGAATTTTAGCACCGCGCATCATAAAATCACACGAATCGCACCGTAGGTCCTCGCACTTCTGTGGGTTAACAAGGCTTAACAACTTCTGTGGGTGTACGAACGTCGGCTTAACAACTTCTGTGGGTGTGTACTCCACGCCAGTGTAGTAGCCACGGTCGTCCGCAGGCCACGAAGTGAAGTGTCCGAACGTCATAGGGCGGGAAGCTGGGTGTGGGTGGTGGCGAAGAGTCGTGTGGATATTTGGTAGAGCTTGCACTGCCCCCCCACAAAGTGGGGGTATTGGCTGGCGTCGCATGAAAACCCTGGCACTGGTGAGAACACTGAGCGTTCGGGTAAAGTGATTGTTGTTGTTGTTGTTGTTGTTGCTGTTCCGATGCGGGGGCTCCAGGAGACCCGAACCTCTCCCCAGGGCCATATGTGCATCGCATCGCATCGCCAGCGGCACGGAAGCTGCCTGGACCATCACGGGGTGCCTCCGCACCCCGTGGCAGGCCTCTTGGCGCCTGCTGCTGCAGAGCGTTTCCTGACAGCCACGGGGCCCGGCGATGGCCCCTTTATGGAGGCCGCCTGACGACGGGAAGCCTCCGTATGTTGACGTTTTCGGTGCCTTGGAGGCCTGGGCCTGCTTCGTGGCGACACGTTTGTGAACGAGAGACCTCCTAGAGGGGGTCCGCGTAGATGAGGTTGGAGGATCGCGCCGCATCGCCAGTGCATCGTCGGTTCATCGTCGATCGCAGGTGGCGGCGATGCATCGGCGCCATCGGCGTGGAGAAGTTCTGGCTCCAGATCGATCCGCATCGTCGATGCTGAAGGAGCCCCCTCCATGGCGCGCGGAGAGCGCCAGGGGCGGCGCCGGAAGCACCGTCAGGGGGTCCCATCGCAGATCCAGTAAATCCGCACGGAGTTCCGAAAGTTTATGTTAACTATGCTGCTTTCTGCTACTCGATATGCGTCGTCGATGCGGAGCGATCCTTCGGCCCCACCTGCTCGGACCCCAGCTGGGAAGCCGAGGTGCACGCAGCGACGCGGCCCCGTCACCAGCACGCCCCCGGACGCGCAGCGCGCCAACTCGTCCTCGGGGGCGCTCTCTGAGCCCGCTGGTCCAGTCCCCCCGGTCCTGGAGGGCTCCTGCAGCTCCTCCCCCCCCGTGCTACAGCTCTTCGTTTCTGGTCCTCCTTGCCGTCGTCGTCGCCGTCGTAGTCATCCTCCTTCTCCTCCTCCTCCTCCGCCTCCTCCACCTCCTCCTCCTCCTCCTCCGCCTCCTCCTTCTCCCCTCGCTTCCGATCCCTCCCTCCCGCACACACACCACCTCCGATCCTCTCTCTCTCTCTCGCTCTCCGTCTGTTCATCCTCGTCGTCTTTCCCGTGATCCTCATCCTCGTCCTTCTCTTCCGCGTCCTCGTCCTCGTCCTCCCTCCTCCTCCTCCTCCTCCTCCTCCTCCTCCGCCTCCTCCTTCTCCCTCCTCCTCCTCCTCCTCCTCCTTCTCCTCGTCGTCCTCCTCCTCCTCGTCCTTTAGGTCCTGCAGGACGAGGTCGAAGAAGGGGTCGACCCTCGCGGGGATATCGAAACGATATGCCAGCGCTGACCTCCTAGGCGATCGACGCGCTTCGAAGGCTGCCAGAGTCATCTTAACCCAAGGACGCAAGCCACTGCTCTTGCATCGCAGCCCGCGCTTCGGGAACCGCGATGGGGTCGAACCCGAGGTCACTCTGGCGACCCACCAGTCTCACGTGCACCAGGAGGCTGGAAGCGCACGTGGCTGGATCCACATGCGGAGAGCCGCCGTGCCCAGCCATGAAGGGCAGAGCGCTGGAAAGACATGCGGCCACCCGTGCACGTAGCCAGCCCTCGATGCCCCTGGGCTGGCCGCGTCATCTGGCCGACACCGGAAACCCTGAGCCCAGGCATGTCGTCATCACCCGGGGGCGCACCTTTCACCTCCGCCGACCTTCCGCGGGCTTCCGCCGGCGGAGGCGGCCTCGTCTTACTTCCGCCGACCCTCTGCCGCCCTTCCGCCGCGGAAGAGATGGCAACTCCTTCTATCCTCGAAGGGGAGGCCCTTCCTGGACCGCTCCACGCACATCCAGCTTCCCCCTCGAGCAGCCGAGAAGCACGACTTCTCGGAGGTCACGCGCGGTTTCCTCGGATCGGCACCGGAACTTCCCCCCCCCCCCCCAGGGGCAGCGCCGGAAGCGCCGCCAGAAGGGCCCAGCGCAGACCCACTCAATCCGCGCGGACCTCCCAAAATGGACGCCAATGTTCTTGTATTGGGTTCCCCGTAGTCGATCGTCGTCCTCCTTCACGCTGCATCGTCGGGGTGCCTTGTCTGTCCTGTAAATTGCCGTTCTTCCCCCCATCGACGCAGCTTCGGCGCTCCCTGAGGCAGATCCGACGTGGATTCGACACGGGCTCGAAATGAGTTCGACGCTCGTCGTGGACCTGGCGTGGACTCGGCGCGGACGACGGCGCGCTGGGACAGCCATTGCCCCAAGAATATGCAACATCAGCTTGTCTACACGCAGGAGTTACCCGTGGCAAGAGTGACCTCTGGTGCGCGACTTCAGGAGGCGCATCGTCGAACGAGAGCTCCTCCCAGCGCTCTATCGCCGAACGGCCGTGCCGTGGCGAAAAGTGAGCTCAGACGCCATCCGGGCAGCGCAAGCATCGAGATGATCGTCGAGGGTAGTAGATGTGTGTGTGTGCCTCTCTCTGGTGGCGTGTAGCATGGGATCGGGCGGGAGGCTATCACAGCGCACTGGAGAGACTCAGGCGTGCCGTCTATCAGAGCGGGGCGAACGTGCGCGACTTCGGGAGGGCGCCCAGGGGGGGGGGGGGGCCAAAGCGCGCAAGCCGCCGCCATCGCACTATCGCGTCGCATGAGGCGATCGGGGTGGGGGGGCCCAAGCGGGCCCGCAGCCAAGGCCAGTCTGGCGCAGGGCCACTCCTGCGTGCCGTCGCACAGGAACAAGCAAGGGCTCCCAACTTCGCGCCTCGCGCTGCGCGAGAGCGCGAAGTGCGAACCACTTCGCGCCCTCGAGCCGCCTCCCAGGGGAGAAGAGGAGGACGAGGGATCGGAGCCGCACCGCGAAGCGCGGAGCGCGGCTAACTTCGCGCCCTCGAGGGCGCCCTTGAACAGACCACGGCACGAGCGTCATTCCTTGGAGGTCCGCGCGGGCTCGTGGGATCGGCGCTGGGCCCCCCCTCGCGCTCCGCGCGCGCGAGGGGGCCGCGCTGGAGGCGCCGCCACGGGGGGCCCAGCGCCGACCCTGAGAAACCCGCGCGGGCCCGAGAAACCTGAAGGGGCCCTGGGACACACAAATAAAGATACACAAGTAAGAGGACTCCCAATAGTTTCCCATGTTTTCTGGATTTTCGTCTTCCCCCCCACTTTTGGGGGATCGACGATGAATTGTGGGGGATCGACGATGAACGATGGGGATCGACGATGAATTGTGTCTGTGTGTTTCTTTCCCTCCTGATATGCAGCTGACTGCTCTTCGGGAAAGTTCTGGATCGAACCCCGAGATGGAGCTCGGATTCTTAACGGGCGAAGAACGGTATAACATAAACATTTTCGCCGTCGGGGACGCCTGTCCCTGGGCGGCTGGAAAGTTTATACCCTTACAGTGGCACCGTAGGGGTATAAACTTTCCAGCCGCCCGGGGGCTGGTGTCCCCGACGGCGAAAACAATTATTTTGTACCGCTCTTCGCTCGCTGAGATTCGGCGGGAGAAGGCCGGGCCGAGCAGAACAACCGGGCGAGGGCAGGACGGCTGCTCGGCCACGGATGCCCCGGCGCCGGTGCCGAGGTACCTCCGCCTCCCCCCCGAGGAGCTGCGACCGAGGGAAGGGGCCCAAGTTAACGGGCGAAGAACGGTATAACATAAACCTTCTCGCCGTCGGGGGCGCCTGCCCCCGGGCGGCTGGAAATGTTATACCCCTATACGGTGGCACCGTAGGGGTGTAAACTTTCAAGCCGCCCGGGGGCAGGCGCCCCCGACAGCGAAGAAATTTTATCTATACCGTTCTTTGCTCGCTGAGATTCGGCGGGAGCAGGCCGGGCCGAGCAGAACAGCCGGGCGAGGGCAGGACGGCTGCTCGACCGCGGGTGCCCCGGCGCCGGTGCCGAGGTTCCCCCGCCTCCCCCCCGAGGAGCTGCAACCGAGGGAAGGGGCCCAAGTTAACGGGCGAAGAACGGTATAACATAAACCTTTTCGCCTTCGGGGGCGCCTGCCCCCGGGCGGCTGGAAATGTTATACCCCTATACGGTGGCACCGTAGGGGTGTAAACTTTCCAGCCGCCTGGGGGCGGGTGTCCCAGACGGCGAAAAAGTTGATTTTGTACCGCTCTTCGCTCGCTGACCAAGGAGCCTCGGGCCGCTCGAGACCGATAGCCTCCCTCGGCGCCTGCCGGCGGTCGGCGGCTGGCCGCTCGCCCCCCGGGGGCCTCGCGCCCTCCCCGGACCCAGGAGGGCCGAGCACCGGATGGACCAGTCGGGTCGGCGGTCGGAAGGAGCCGGAGCGGCGGAAGCGGGCAGCCACGTCTGGAGACGCCGAAGCGGCGGAAGTCGGCAGGTCAGTGAGGCCTCGTCCTCCCCCCTCTCCTCCTCCTCCTCGCCTCCTCCTCCTCCTCCTCCTCCTCCTCCTCCTCCTCCTCCTCCTCCATTGAGGCACCACCCGAAGTCGAAACGAGTCGGAGCCGACATTGAATCGACTCGGAGGAGTCGGCATGAGCCCTGCCTGGGGGCCCCGTGCCCTCTGGGGGCCCCGTGCCCTCCCTCGAGCTGTGCCACGGGCCCACGATGACGACGACGACGACGACGACGCCGACGCCGACGACAACGACAACGACCACGACGACAACGACCACGACGACGCCGACCACGATGACGCCGAGGACCACAACGACGAGGAGGACGACGACGACGCCGACGCCGACGACGACGCCGACGCCGAGGACGACGACGCCGACGACGACGCCGACGCCGACGACGACGTCGCCCCCCAGGGGCCTCGTGCCCTCCCCGAAGCCGTGCCACGGGCCCTCGCTGCCCTCGGGCGGCGTGCCCCCGTACTCCCGGGGCCACGTGGCCCCGAAGATGCCGGCCGCGTACGCCTCGTCGAGGGCGGCCGGCCGTCGACGCCGCTGCCGTTGACGAGGGCGACAACGAGGACGCCGAGGACGACGAAGCCGAGGACGACGACGACGACGACGATGACGACGAAGACGACGAGGACGACGATGACGCTGAAGACGACGACGCCGATGATGACGAGGTTGACGACGACGACGACGACGACGAGGTTGACGACGACGACGCCGAGAACGACGAAGCCGAGGACGACGACAACGACGACAGCGAGGACGACGACGACGCCAAGGACGACCAGGACAACCACGGCGACTACAACGACCACGAGCACGACAACCACGACCACCACCTGTGCCACAACTTTTCGTGGCACAGGTTGTGGTCGTGGTCGTCGTCGGCGTCGTTGGCGCCGCCGGTCGCTGTGGCATGGGGTCGTGGTCATGGTCGTGGGCGTCGTCGCGGTCGTCGCCGTTCGAAGATCGAGGAACTCGGACACCGCCACCGCCGCAGCCGCCGTCTTGGTCGGGGTCGGGGTCGTGGTCGTAGTCGTGCTCCCGTTCCTGGGCTTTGGGTGCTGTCCCTCGTCGCTACGGCTGGATCCGCCTCGGGTCTTGTCAGAACGCGCGACAGGAGGAGTCTGGGGGTCGATCATGACGGGGGGACAACGTCGTCGTAGTCGGCGGCGGCGTCCTCCATGTCCACAGTGATAGGGGCCAGAGGCAAAGGGGGGCTGGAGCAGGAGCTGTTCGGAGGATGCCAGAGGTGGCCCAAGCCCAGCCAGCTCCCGGCATGCTGGAGCCCCCGGGCGCCCCCTGGGCATCGCGATGAGTGCTCTGGAGGCCATCTGGGCCTCCCTGGACTGGCTGGTGGCCACCTTGGGCAAGCTCGTGATGGGCGCTGGGAGGCCACCGTGGCCTCCCCAGATAAGCTGGGAGAGGAGGAGGAGGAGGCGGAGGAGGAGGAGGAGGAAGGGAGGAGGAGGAGGAGGAGGAGGAGGAGGAGGAGGAGGAGGACCACCCAGGGACAGGGCCACATCGGGCAACACCCGAGAATGGGGACGCGATGTGGAAGTGGAGCAGCAGCAGCGTGAGGAGGAACGCTCTCCTCCTCCGCCTCCTCCTGCTCCTCCTGCTCCTCCTGCCTCTCCTCCTCCTCCTCCTCCTCCTCGTCCTCCTCCTCCTCCTCCTCCCTCGGCCGTCCCCTCCCTCTCCCCGCCCCCTCCTGCTCCTCCTCCCTCGGCCGTCCCTCCCCCTCCTCCTCGTCCTCCTCCTCGGGGGACCAGCTTCGGGGGGAAAGCCTCGAGCTTGAATCGGTGACTCATCAGTGACAGGTCGGCAAGAAGCCTCCGATTGCGATTCCGCATGTTCCTGGGCGGGGTGGGCTTTCAGGCCCTTCTCGGCGATCCATGCGCGACTGGGGATGGATGCGTTCCCCCCTGCGCCTATCCCTCGATAACGTTGCCCCTGGCAAGGGCGCATGAACATGCCTTCTGTTCCACCTCTGCCGGACTTATCAGTCGTCTGAGAAGCCGTCTGGCCTGCATGCTTGCTCAGATGTACATCGCCCCGTGCGTATGCCGGCGCACGCCTACAGGCGGTCTCATGTACAAAATATCGGAGTGAAACTTCGGCGCAAAAAAGAAAGACACGAGGAAGAGGAAGAGGAGGAGGAAGAGGAGGATGAGGAGGAGGAGGAGGAGATGCGGGAAGAAGTGAGACGCAGCCTGGATGAGGAGCGGGAGGAGGGAACGATTTGAGGCCTCTGCTCTGTCCCCTGGCCCTGGCCTTATCGTTACCCTGGCCTGGCGGACAGGAGAGCGATAGGGAGGGAGGGAGGGAGGAAGGAAGGAGTCAACGTGGAGGAGGAACTACAGGCACCTATAACCTACGCATAAGACAGGCCAGGCCAAACAAACACCACCCTGGCATCCACTTCTGACCCCCCAATCCCCTCAGCCGCACCCGCCGTGACCCAAGTACAGTGGAGGCCAGTCCACAAGAAACCTTCCACAAGAAACCAAACCCTGAGACCCCAGGGCGTCCATTGATCTTTGGTGTGGGAACGTCGCGCTGTCCATCGCAAAACCATCGAAACCCAAGAAACCCAGGGCACGCTTGAGAGCAGGGGGACGAGCAATGACAGAAACATCAAAACTCGGAGGTCCACGCAGATTTCTCGGACCGGCGCTCCGGCGCCGCCTCCGGCGCCGCCCCTGGCGCGCTCCGCGGATCCGAGAAATCCGCGCGGACCCCCGAGTTTTTCTGTTTGTTCCATTGCTCGCCCCCCTCATGAGTTAACGGGCGAAGAACGGTATAAAATCAACTTTTTCGCTGTCGGGGGCGCCTGTCCCTGGGCGGCTGGAAAGTTTATACCCCTACGGTGCCACCGTAGGGGTAGAGGTGCAGAGACGCATATGAATAAATGATGCACGGCCGTGCTCGTTCTTGAACGGGGGGGATGCATGCGGATGGCCCACCGTAGCCGCATGTGCCGCTGCGCCTGGTGAAACGACTCAGGCGAGGTAGGAAGGTGCCGAGCTGGGCAGCGCGCGCGCTCGGCAGCTGACGAGCACGAGGATGCAGTCTGGACTGCGGAGCACTAGGCATCGAAGCGCTGCTGTTCTTGATCAGCCGGCAACCGTCGGGCCGCTCCATCCAAGGCCGCGCGGCCAAGTGAAACAACGATTCAGCGAAACTTCGTGCGGCCAAAAGAAGTCGCCGTTGAGGTCGAGGGTAAATAGGCCCCCCCGCATCGCCCTGCGGCGCTGGAGAGGGGCCCGCGCCTTGCAGATGGCTGCCCAATGCCTCTTCGAACTGCCGTGCACATGCTTGACATGAGGTAGCGATCGAACTACTTGAGCGGCGCTTGCAACCCGCCTCGCCCGCCGCGGCGTGGAGGGAGAGGTGCTGTGAGTTGTTGTCGACGGACTCCCCGCCCACGTCGTCATGGGTGCGCAGCGTGAGCGCTGGGGCTCGCCTGTCATGCCCCCCCCCCCCCCCCTGGAGGGGCCGCGCCTGGCGTGCGAACCTCCGCCTCTTCGCAGACGACCCCTGATGCGCCTGGGTGCTCTGGCTTGCCTTCGCGGATGCGCTCGCCGCGACCGTCGCCCGACTTGCCCGCGTTGATGGGCCCGTCCTTCCCCCGTCTTCGCGTTGCCTCCAGGCCAAGCCGCTGATGGCCTCCGGGCCGATGGGGGCTGGGGATGTCAGAGGGCGAGGAAGACCGCCAAATGTGGGCCCGAGCCCAGTGACGCACCTGACAGCGTAGCAGGAGCTGGAGGGGGAGGGGGAGGAACCGAAGTATTTGACATGGCCGCGATAACCTCCTCGTTGATGAGCCTCTGCTGCATCTCAATCCGTTCGTCCAGCATTCTCTGCTCTCAGATCTCTGCGGCCGTCTTCGCTGCCTTTTCCAGCGCGGGCCCCTGAGAGATGTTACAAAGGGGTTCGTACTCATCAGCAATCAAGGCCTCAACTAGCTCATTGATCAGTTGCTGCTCATGTTCGACTTGGGCTTCATCTTGTTGTTGTCTTTCTGTTTTGCTCTGCTGCTTCAGGACGTCGCATAGTACTGCGCAGCATCGAGGTCCTCGGTCGGGTCCATCCTTGAAACTGAGGTTGATGACGCTGGCTTGTCTGCAGCACGCGTGGCAATCGGCGTAGGGGACTGGGGTTGCGACATGATGGTGTGCTGCGTCGGTTTGGCATGAGGCGCAACTGGCGCCTCCGCTTGTGACTGGGGCAAGATAGCCACAAGTGATGAAGGAGCAGACGCCGTTTGACTCGCACCAGACCGCTGAGGCGATGACTGCGTCTGAAGTATGTACTGCTGGCCATTCGCGAACTGGGCATAAAGAAACTGCACCTTATTCGACTGCAGTTTAGCGTCCGCCTGTTGGGCCCGAGTCTCCTCTGCCTGCTTCATCTGCTGATTCAGGATCTCGTGAAAGGAAGGATGTAAGTTGCTCTGGCGCGCCTGGGCAGGCCGCCATCTTCGCTGCTGACTTTGGAGCTGCTGAGGTAGGTGGTGGAGGTGGGGGCGGCCTTTTAGCAAAACCTGGAGACACCTCTGCCGACTGTAGAAGCCCATGGATTTTTGGCACAAATTTGGGCTCCGGACGCGGAGCAGGAACAGGCTGAGGACCGTGGTCAACAGCCATGTGGCTGCCCATGTCCTGAACAACTTTGATCTCTCTTAGAAGCATACGAGCACAACTGTTCTTTTACTTGAAAAAACTCATCCTGCAAATCAGCCTTTTCATTGACCAAGATACCCACCTGCTGCACAACCTTTGTCAACCTGTCCTGCAGGATGTCGGCACGTTTTGATATGGACCAGTTCTGCTCCGCAGCTGGCAGTAGTGACGTGATGGCCGTTTTCAAGATTGAGATCTCTGATGTTTCGATTGCCGCAGACTTGCTGGTGCTCTTCAGTGATGCCACAAGGACGGCGAAGTGATATATATATATATATATATATATACATATATATATATATATATATATTCTCATACGCACCTCTCCGAGGGAGTAGAGCTCAGAGGCGATTGATGCGCACGCGTCCGCGATTTGTCTGGGCGTTTCGCTCGGGACATCCTCGAAATTCTGAAAATCGGTGGCACCCCTCACGCAGATCGTGACGTCAGGGTCCAAAAACACATGGGAATTTCAACATTTTAACATAAAACCTTCAAAAACACATGGTAATTTCAATAATTGTGACCCCGATTCTCAGGGAATGGCGGTTTCGCTTGAAAAATCCTTCCAAAATCGAGCCCCAGACCCCGCCTCGGAGCCTCCTGGGGGCCTCCTGGAACCTCCTGGGGCCTCCTGGGGCTTTCTGAACCTTCTGGCACCCCAGACCCCGCCTCGGAGCCTCCTGGGGGTCTCCTGAAACCTCCTGGGGCCTCCTGGGGCCTCCTGCGGCCTCCTGGAGCCTCTTGGGGCCTCCTGAAGCCTCCTGGGGTCTCCTGGGGCCTCCTGAGGCCGCCTGGGGCTTCCTGGGGCCTCCTGGGGCTTCAGAACTACATGCACACAGAGACACAAATCACGCCCAACACATCACACGCTAGACAAACATAACACACACACACAACACCTACAACACACAAAAAGCACGCACCACACAAAGCATACATCACACACACGCACAACACTCACAATCCTGGGGCCTCCTGGAGCATCTTCTGGTATCCAAGTCGGGCCTCCTGAGGCTTCCTGGGGGGTCCTGGTACACACATCGCAAGGTGTGGCAACCCCACTTGCGCTCGAGTGCGACTTCGATGTTGCATTTCACTCCTGCTTCAAACGCCCCTTCAGTTTTTGTATGAGCCTGGGCACACACGTGCCACTTGTATATATATATATATGTATAACAGACACTCTGTTTCCATCGTTTTTGTTTGGAAGCTGACTTGATCATGGCCAGAAGGGTTCGGAAGTTCGACCCATGTATCCGCAACTCTTGCGAGAGCAATCTGCGTGGTGCCAATGTCATTGATGATCTTGCGGATGGGTGCCTCTCGTCTCTTCCTGCTCTGCGACCTGCCCGGTCTGCCTCTCGCCGGCCCATGTGACTCAGCCTTGTACCTGGACTGCTGCCTCGACTGTCTGCCATTCGATATACTTTCTGTTATGATGGCGCTGCTGCTGCCAAGAACTGACACACTGCTTGCGGGACCGGAGCGTGTCAGGGCCTCTGGGCGGATTGCTGACTGCGGCGGAGGTACGACGCTGAGGCACCCCTCAGGAGGGGTGCGAGCGTCCGCTCAGGCTTGGCGGTCCCGCCTGTGCCAAGCGCTCTCGTTCTCTCGGGGCGTGGCCCCTTCAGTGCGGCGGTTCACCGCCCGCGCGGTCCCACGGCAGGGGCTGGGCACGGGGCCCCTGCAACAGGATATGGCGGCACGCGTGAGCCCCGCCGCCGCTGGCCAGCCTCCCTGTGAGGCGCGGCCCGCTCGAGCGCGCGGTGGCTCCCTCCTCCTCCTCCTCCTCCTCCTCCTCCTCCTCCTCCTCCTCCTCCTCCTCCCCCTCCTCCCCCTCCTCCTCCTCCTCGTCCTCGTCCTCCTCCCCCTCCTCCGTATCATGCTTCTGCCCCTGCCCCTGCCCCTTTAGCTCCCGCGGCCGACGGGTCTGCCCCCGCCGAAGCGAGCCCTCGGCCGGCGGCCGCGCGGCTCCGGAAGTAAAAAGAGGGGGCGGAATACAGTCGGACCTAGGCCAGAAGAACATCCCTCAAGAACATGAGACCCTCAGTCGGCCAAAACACACAGAACATCTGAGGGTGCCCCTCTCCAGGGTGCACAATAACGTCCAATAAACACGAGGAACACTAGGGTACCCTCCCCGAACCGACCTCGATCTTATACCTCGGTCCGACTGTAGGAGGAGGAGGAGGAGGAGGAAGAGGAGGAGGAGGAGGAGGAGGAGGAGGAGGAGGAGGAGGAGGAGGAGGAGGAGGAGGGAGGAGGAGGAGGAGGAGGAGGAGGAGGAGGAGGGCGGAATAGGAGCGGCAGCGGAGGAGCGGGCAGTGCGAAGCACAGCGGAGGAGCGGGCAGGGCGAGGCAGGCCCCCGAGGGGGCGCTCTCCGCGCGCGCCAGGGGCGCGGCGGGCGGCCCCGGGGGCGCGACGGGGCGCCAGGCTCAGATCGGGCATGTCCCCCCTGCAGGCGGGCTTTGGACGAAAGAATCAGGATAGTCAAACAAAAATACCCCCCCCATGCGAAAGCCTAGCAAGTAAAATCGTCCCAAGACTACGTCTGGACAATGTTTGGATTTCCCCCCTGCAGAAGGACACGCCCCACTCGACGCCAGGTGTCGGCGAGGCACGGCAGGAGGCAGAGCAAGCATGAGCATGGGGAGGAGCTCGCACTGGAAGAGCACAAACAAAGATAAGCATAAACATGTGGAGGTCCGCGCGGGTCTCTAAGGTCCGCCTTTCTTCCTCGACACTCGGCAAAGGGGAAAAGGCGAGGAAACGGGCCGACCCGACCCTCGGGAGGGCCCGTCCTGGGCGCCAGCTGCCGGCGGCGGCAGCCCGGCAGCGCCCGCGGGCGCGGCGGCAAGAGGGAACGAGACAAGCAGGAGAAGAAGTAGGGGGAGAGCCAGAAAGGGAGTAATAAGAGGGCAGTCAATAACAACAGGACAAACCATTACGGCGAGAGCATTGGATAAGGAACCCCTGGATAGGGTCTGGAGGCTGGTGGAACTCCAACTGAGGCTTGGCCATTGACATCACTGCCGCCCTCTTCAGAGAAGGAATCGCGCAGGGCCTGAACCCTCCTAGGAACACTGCTTTACGAACGCCCCCGCAGCACTTTGCTTCGAGTGATCCTCCCACCCGAAAGCGCCAGGCGAGATACCCAGGGAACACCGGGCCTGGCGGCCGTGGCATGCAGTCGTCCTTCGCCAGAGATTCAGGGCGGGATCCCCCGGGAACGCTGGCGCACTCGGGGCCGGGCGGTATGCAGGGTGTGCGAGGGTGGCCGGGCACTTTCTTCTGGAAGTCTACCGCTCCAACCTGTCGGGTGGGGAATGCGTGCGCGCCTGTCGAAGAAGTGGGTAGAAACATGAAGTACGAAGGCGGATGAAATAGATTGGGTTCAGGCCCTCCCAGAGAACAACAAGACACACAAATATCAGATTGATTCTTGAAATAGGAAGGCGCTTGAAGTAGATTGGCGTCCGGGATTTCAGAAATACCTACTTCCGACGACCGGCGTGTACCCTTTCGGAGGTCTATGCAGGTCTCTTGGATCGGCGCCAGACCCTCCCACACTGGTGCGCAGAGCGCGGCAGGGGCGGCGCCGGAGGCGCCGCCACAGATCCAAGCAATCCGCGCGGACCGCGGCAAATGTGCAGTATGGGGCCCGACCACAAGAAACCTTCCACAAGACACCCAACCCTGAGACCCCAGGACGTCCATTGATTGTTGTGGTGTGGGAACGTCACTCCCTCCATCGCAAAACCATCGAAGCCCGAGACACCCAGGGCCCCCTGGAGGCGAGCAGGGTGCTTCTTGGCATGGGCCCCCACTGCACGCCCATCGTGATACCCTGCGAAGGCACGGCTGGGAAATGGAGCGGCCCTTCTGGCCACGGCGCGCCTCGGCCACGAGCGGGTTCCCCGACCTGGGCCTGTCAGGGACGGCCCGAAGACCGGAGCCCCCCTCTGCGGAGGCCGGGCTGATCCTTGTCTCAGCGTCTCGGCCAGACCCATCGGTCGGAAGAAGCACGCAGGTGGAAGCAGGAAGCAGGAAGGCGTTGAAAGCAGATTGGGCTCCGCCCACCCCCTCGCGAGGACGGAGGAGGTGAGAGGCCACCCGACCCATGAAGTAGGAAGGCGCCTGAACTAGGTTGGGATCTGGGTACTTCCTGGTATCTTTCCTGGGCTCCCCGCAAGTACCTCCCAAGTGCCGTTCCTGGCCCCTCCCTCGTATGGTTCCCTCCTCCTCCTGCTCCTCCTCCTGCTCCTCCTTCTCCTCCTGCTCCTCCTCCTGCTCCTCCTCCTGCTCCTCCTCCTCCTCCTCCTCCTCCTCCTCCTCCAGCTCCTCTTCCTGCTCACCATGGGTACGTATGCTTATGCAGTTTTCTTCTTTGAGGACAAGGGGGGGCGCCGCCGCGCTGCTCGGAGAGATCGGCGCCGGCGAGTGTGCGGGGCCAGACTCGCCCGCCCCTCCTGCCGTTCCTCGCGCGCCTCGCCCTCCTCGTCCTCCTCCTCCTCCTCCTCCTCCTCCTCCTCCTCCTCCGCGCTCTCCTCCCCCCCATCGTTGCCCTACGCGCCCTCCTCGCTCTCCTCTCCCTCCTCGCCCTCCTCTCCCTCCTCCCCTTCCTCGTATTCCATCTGTTATTCTTTCTGCTTGTTCCTGTTTGTTATTCCTGATTCCTTCTCCTACTCTTCCTTCTCCTCTCCCTCGTGCTCCCCTTTCTCCCCCTCATATCCTTCATCGTTCTCCCTCCTCCTTCTCTTTCTCCTCCGCTTCTTGTTCTTACTCCTCCTCCTCCTCCTCCTCCTCCTGCTCATCTTCCTACTCCCTCCTCCTGCCCCCCTCCTTCCCGTTCGCATCCTTGCTCCAACCCTCCTCGCCCCCCTCCTCCTCCCCCACTTCAACTCCTCCTCTTCATTCTCCATCCTCCTTCTCCTCCAGCTCCTCTTGCTCCTCCTCCTCTTCCTCCACCTCCTTCGCCCCGTCCTCACCGTTCCCCCTTTCTCCTTGCTATTTCCTTCTCTCCTCCTCCTCCTCCTCCTTCTCCTCCTCCTCCTCCTCCTCCTCCTCCTCCTCCTCTTGCACTTCCTCCTGCACCCTCCCAGCCCGCTTTTTCTTCTCTCCTCCTTCTTCTCCGTATCCACATCCTCTTCTTCCTCCTCCTCCTCCTCTCCTCCTTCTCCCCCTCCTTCTCCTTACCTTCCTTTTCCCATCCCACCTCCTCCTTCTCCACCTCCTCTTCCTCCCGCTCCCCCTCCCTGCTTCTCTCTCTGTCTCTCTCTCTCTCTCTCTTTGTCTCTCTCTACTCTCTCTACCTCTCTTTACCTCTCTCTACCTCGCTCTACCTCTCTCTACCTCTCTCTTTCTCTCGATCTCTCTCTACCTCTCGCTCTTTGCAGTTATAGCAAAACAAGAGGAGCGAGGAGAACCACAGCCCCTGATCGTAGCGCACGGGCTCGATCTGTTTCCATGCGCGATTGTGGTCATGTGTTTCCAGCGTGGCATCACAACTCCTCCTTTGGTTCATCGTCCTCAAGATCGATATCTTCAAGATCAATATCGTCAAGACTCTCACCTGGGTCGTCAGCGGCACCGTCGTCAGGGCCACCAACTGTGTAATCTTGCCTCTTTGGCGAATCGCGGGTGAGGATTGTCCTGACCAGCTTTGAGTCTGGAGTGGCCCCTTCACGGACCACCCAAGTCTGATGCGCTAAGGTGTAGTACTGCTTCTCTGCGCCTGGAAGTATGTCCCCAAAATACCTCTCTGATCCCGCATCCGGACCATCTGGGACACGCCAAAACGAATGCACCATAGCTTCGCCGACGTTCTTAACATTGAGAAATATGTGCTCTGCGGTCTCGGCGGTGACCTCCCTCTTCTTCTGAACGGCCGGTTCGCCCGTTTCCTGGAGATCTGACTCGTCGATAAGGTCCTCATCTTCGAGGTCAATGTCCTGAGGAGGGATGCTTGTTGTGACCCCCTCGATGCTCCCCCCTTTTTGCCCTGGTGTCCCATCCCCGCCCCCCCGTCGGGTCGACCAGGAGGGGCTGCCGGTATCTCCGTTGGAAGAGCCTCCTGGGACCTCCAGGGGATTCACTGGGGGGGGGAGGGGGCATCTGGGAACGCACAACGGGGCCTCACGGGGATCTCTTGGGCCATCTTGGCAGCATGTCGGCGTCCATTCGGGCCATCTTGGAGTTTTCCCTGGCGGCCACGGCCAATCCAGGGGCCAGCTCGATGGAGCCTCCCTCATTATTAGATGTGTGGCAAGGGCAATCATAGGTTGACAATCGCAGTCGTGCCAATAGATGCGTGAAAGAACTATGTAACATAAACGTGTGCAAACATGTGACCTTAATTGATTATGTATATATTGCGTATACATATCCGCATATATTTGCATCCTTAACCGAAGTAAGTCATGCATACATGCACATGTCTATTCGCACATCTATCATTCGACATATACACGTATGCGTATGTATTTGCTGATCGATGCACCTATGTAGATATACAAACACGCATCTGTATGGACGTATACATATACATACGCGCATATTTCTACAAGTAGGTGCATATGCAAATGCACATATGAAGGTATATAGCTATCGATATATATATATATACTTTTATCCGTAAGTGCTCATACATAGGAGTAGCCCTGACTACACAACTGCGCTCGTCCAACGGATACCCTTTCTTTCCCCATACATGGGAAGTGCTGCCAGGGCGGCTGTGCCTGGAGCGCCCCCCTTGGAGAGCCCGAAACGCCCCGGAAATCTCCCAAAAGGCTTCGGGGGGCTTGGGCCGTCGTGGGGCCATCTTGAGCGCCTTGGAGCGGCGCTGGGCTGTCATTGGAGGCCTCCAGACCCTCTTGGGGCGCCTTCTGGGGCCCTCCTGGCCCGTCTTTGGGCCGTCTAGCCTAGCCTGGGGAAACCTCCTCTTCGCGGCACGGTGGCGGAGACTGCGTTCGGTGTAATTCTAGGGAGCCCACAAAGGACGTACGCGCCCAGCTATGTACATGAACACGGCCCCTCGATCCGCGAGACCGGCCGCGTTATACGAACATCTGCACAATGCGTACTCTCGAAACCAGCGTGGATTCATGTACGTGTACGTCCTTCTGTCGCTCCTGAGATTCGGAGAGGGCGCGGGAGCTGCATCGTGGTACAGTCGGACCTGGGCCTACAAAACCATCCTGCAAGAGCCGGAGACCCTCCGCGGGCCAGAGCACCCCAAACCCTGGGATCGTCCAAGGGTGCCCTCCTCCAAGATGCACAACAGCATCCAAAACACACACAACACACACAACACACACAACACACACACAACACACAACACACACACACACAACACACACAACACACAACACACAACACACACAACACACAACACACAACACACAACACACAACACACAACACACATTCAACACACACACACACACACAACAGACACACAACACACAACACACAACACAAAACACACAACACACAACACGCACGAAACACCTGCTGGATCTCACACCTCGGTCCGGCTGTACCTTCTGCGCGGGGCATCCGCGAACAGGCGCCCCGTATCCGCGGGGCCGCGGCTCAAGGCCCCGCCCGCGAGGCCGTGGGTACGGACATGTGTCCGCCCACGAGCTTTGGTCAGCGGCCTGGTGATGCCCCTCCCCCTCCCTCGAAGCGGGCAGTGCTGCACTCCCAGAGAGAAGCCAGAGCTGGAAACCCCTGGCTGGCTTCCAGGGAGTGCCCGTCGGCGAACGCGTTCGCGTCGTGACGACCCTGGCGTTGGCCTCCGACGCCGCGTGGACCGCTCAGCGTTGAACGATCGGCGGCTTTCCGACACGCGCAGATCGTTCGATGCCGGCCGATTCTGGGCCACTGGCGGCGCTCAACCTGGAGGCCCGCGCTGGGGTCACCGCCGTGTCGACACGACGCAGAGCTGATTACTGGTACCCATCGCGGTGCCGCTGAAAGACCGAATCGCGCCCCGAGGCCTCGTCGAGGAAGTCGTCGTCGTCGTCTGCCGCCGAGGCCGACCGTGCACGCAGCAACGCCAGGGCCAGACAGAGAAGTACAGAAGAGGAACGCATTGCGGGCTGACCTGATCGGCAGCCTGATCCGACACGGCTGCGGAAGGGCGAGGAGAGGGGGGAGAAGAGAGGATGCTGCAAGATGCACGCCAGGAGAAATGAGGTGAATGAGGAGCAGGAGGAGGAGGGCGCGAAGAAGTGAATGGAGAAGGGGGAGGAGGAGGCGTTAGGAGGTGAAGGAGTGATGAGGAGGAACGGGGAGGTGGGGGTGAATTGACAGGAGGAATGAGGAGGATGATGCGGAGGAAAGAGGAGGATATAGTTTCTTTAGGCAGCCCAACATGATCGACCCACGAACCGGGAAAGGGATTTAGAACTGCGAGGCATGGGAACGTTTCCAAGCACCTCAAGTGGGCAATGGGCAGTGGCAGTGCTGAAGGTATCAATGGTGATGATGCTGTGCCAAAGGCTGTGTTGTGCTGTGCCGCGGCGACTTGCCGGAGGACGCGCCACGGAACGAACCAGAGGACGAGCCAGGGGACGTGCCAGGGGATGCGCCGTGTGATGCTCAGGGGGACGCGCCACAGGATTTGCCAGCGTACGCGCCACGGGACGTGCCAGGGACCGCGCCACGCGATGTGCCAGGGGACGCGCCACGGAACGTGGCGCGTCTCCCTGGCACGGGAGGATCGGGCCCGCCCTGGGGCGTTAGTAATCCATCTGTTTTCAAGCCTGTCCCGCCCTGGGGCGTTATGAATCATATGTTTTCAAGCTTGCCCTGCCCTGGGCGTTCGGAACCCACGTGTTTTCACGCTTGTCTCGCCCTGAGGCTTCAAGAACACATATGTGTTCACGCTTGTCCCGCCCTAGGGCGTTAGGAACACATATGTTTTCAAGCCTGTCCTGCCCTGCCCTGGGGAGATAGAGACCCGGGCGTTAGGACCCCACGTGTTTTCGCGCTTGTCCCGCCCCAGGGGGTTAGAAACCAATGTGTTGTCAAGCTTGTCCCGCCCTGGGGCGTTAGGGACCCATGTCTGTGTTTTCGCGCTAGACAGGACCCACGTCCGTCCTGGGGCGACAAAGGGCCCACGTGTTTTCACGTTTGTTCCTCTCTGGAACAAACAAGACCCACATGTTTTCACGCTTGTCCCGCCCTGGGGCGAAAGAGACCAACGTGTTTTCACTTGTGTTCCACTCCGGAACGAAAACGACCCACGTATTGTTACGCTTGTTCCGCTCTAGGGCTTAGGAGCCCACGTGCTTTCACGTTTTTTTTTTTCTGCGACGAAAGAGACCCACGTGCTTTCACGCTTCTTCCGTTCTGGGGCGAAAGCGACCCAAGTGTTTTTCATATTGTCCCACTTCGGGGCGGAAAAAAACACCTCTTGTTACACTTGTTTCAATCTGGGGCGACAAAAACCCACGCGTGTTCACGCTTCTTCCGCTCTGGGGCGAAAGAGACCCATGTTTTTTCGCGCTGGTCCCGCTGTGGAGCAGTAGGGGCCCATGTGCTTTCACACGCCCCCGCATTCCCAAAACCACCTGGGCCTCCTGCGGCGCCGAAACCTCTCAAATTCTGCAAAACAAGCGTTGCGCTTGAGACATCCTCGAGCTTTCTTCGCGCCGGACGCGTCATCCTCGAGCGGGGCACGCAAAGAGGCAACGCAGTCATTGCGTGCAGAATTCCGTAGCCTCAAAACAAAATCTCTGCCTTGTTTTTTTTTGCAATAAGGAACCGGGTGTCTGCGGAGTCCGTCATTCATCGAGGATCCGAAAGGAGGGCCGCACTTTTCTCGAGAGGAAAAGGGCGAAACGCACGGTCTTGAAGCAGACTGGGAAGCTACATCTTTTCTCCTATCGAGCGGCAATCTGCTGGCCCGGCCCGCCTCGCTCTTGGCACCAGGGGCAATTCACCAGCGAGCAGGAAAGCCTGGGCCCGCGCCCGTTCCGGAGAAAAGGGGTCTAGGTAAAAGGGGGTGGTGCTTTTGGAATTTGGATCTGACTCGCTGCAACGAATAGAAGGCACCAACTATACACCAACACCGATCCTGGCCAGGATCACCCTGGGCCCAGGATCGGTGTATACGCCCTCCTGCCTTGCGCAAGGAAGGCATATACACCGATCATGGGCCCAGGGTGATCCTGGGCCAGGATCGGTGTTGGTGTATAGTTGGTGCCCTCCGACATGATGTGGTTGTCACGCATAGGTCGAGCCGCGAACTTGTTTTGCTGGGGTCTTCAAGCTTCGCGCGAGCTCGAGGTGCCAAGGCCCGCCGATGCGTTGCGAACGGGCTTCCGACTCGTCCATCGGAATCGGAAAACGCTTTTAGGCACCCCAGGTCCCTTGCTCGCAAGCTCTATAGGCGATCAGGTCGTGTCTGGACTCCGCACGCCAGGGAAGGGGGTCCAGCGGGGATCCAAGAATTCCGCGCGGACCTCCGACAGCTTACGCTTATGTCACTGTTTCTTCCTCGATGATGGTTGTTCCCCCGTCGCCAGTGCGCACCTTGTTCTTAGAATTGACGACGACGAGCGGCGGCGAGGCGGCGACGGGGCGGCGACGGCGACAACGTAGCCGCTTGACCGACGGCCATGCCCAGTTCCTTATCCTACAATCGGACATCGGCCAGACCAATATCCCTCAAGAACACGAGACCCTCCGCCGGCCAAAGCACACAGAGCACGCAAGAATGCCCTCCCCAGAACATCCAACAAGCACGAAGCACACCAGGGTACCCTCCCTGATCCGACCTCGATCCTATTTCCAGGTCCGACTGCATATGTTAGATCCCCGGAATGCCAAAACACTGTTTGGGGAATGATTGTTGTTCTGACTACCTACCAGACCACCCCAACCCAACCCGAAGACCCGAATGTCGGGTTGGGGGGGGGGGGGTACGGGTTCCATGTGTGATTCCTCAATGTTCCCGACCCCCCCCACACTGTGGAAAGGGAGGGCAAATTGAGGCCTTCGGGTTGGGTTGGGGTGGTTTGGTGGGTGGTGATGTTCGTTCCCCCGTCGCCAGTGCGCACCGTGTGCTTCCCATGGAAGCGCCCTTCTCGGCTCTCGCACCCTGCTGCTTGTCTCAGCCACGGAACGCCTTGCGGCTCAGACTGGGCTCTTGTGCCCTGGGGCCGCAACATGAACGAACCCCGCCCGAGTCCTCCTCGCAATTTGTTCAGCCATCGCGCCCTCGCCCGAGAATTCTTCGCAACTTCCACACATAGAATCGCGCCCTTCCCTGTCACCCTCAGAATGTATTTGACGAATCTCGCTCTCGCTGCCCAGGAATCGTACTTTCGCTCCGGACTTCCTGTCAATCTAAGAGATCCTCGCAGCGATGCTGACAAGGGATCGCGCTCAGAATGGTCAGGATCTGCTCCACCTCTTTGCCCCCGTTCTTTCCATACCCATGTTGGTCCTCCTCATCCTCCTCTTTCTCCTCCCCTTCCTCCTTCCTCCTCCCCCCCTCCTCCCTCCCTTCTACCCTGTTCGTCGTCCTCCTCCTTCCTTCTCCCTTCCTTCCTTCCTTCCCTCCTTTCTCCCCTCCTCCTCTTCCTCCTCCTCCTACTCCTCCTCCTTCTCCTCCTCCTCCTCCTCCTCCTACTCCTGCTCCTCCTCGCTCCTCCCTCCCCGCTCCCTCCCCCCCCCTCCCTCCCTCCCCCCCCCCTCTCTCTCCTCCCCCGCCCCTCCATCCCTCCCCCCTCCGCCCCACCTGCGCCCTGGCTGCCCAGCCCCAAGGCTCCACGCACGCACGGCAGCCTTGGCCCGCAGCTCGTCGCCCGGCACGTCGCCCGCCTCGTCCCAAGCGTCCACGAAGGGCACCAACTCGCGCTCCACGAACTCGCGGCAGCGCTCCCCGGGGAACAGACGACGACACGAACACAACAACTTTCGGATTCCCGCGCGGACTTCTCGGATCGGCGCTGGAGCCCCCCTGCCGGCGCCTCCCATGGCGCGCTCCGTGCGCAAGGGAGGAGGGGGTCCAGCGCCGAACAAGGAGACATCCGCGCGGACCTCCGAACGGCAATGCTCGTGCCAGTTTTTGTCCCTCGCGCTTCCGCCACCGCAGGTGGCTCTCCCCGAAGAAAGCCGGCTGCACGCAGGAGTGACCTCGGGCAAGAGTGACCTTTGGTGCGCGGCTTTCGGGGACCCGCGCAGTCCAAGCGCGCAAGCCAGTGCTGGCGAGACTCGCAGTAGGAGGGAGGAGTAGTAAGGAGGAGGAGGAGAAGGAGGGAGGAGGAAGGAGGGAGGAGGGAGGAGGGAGGAGGGAGGAGGGAGGAGGAAGAGGAGAGGAGGAGGAGGAGAGGAGGAGGAGGAGGAGGAGGAGGAGGGAGGAGAAGGAGGAGGAGGAGGAGGAGGAGGAGGAGGAGGAGGAGGGGGAGGAGTAGGAGGATGAGGGACAAATGCGAACCCAGTAACGATGTTGCAGTCAACCCTCCCTCCAAGTTCCTTCTTCATTAACTCTTAGAACTGTTTATTTGCACTACGGGAAGAGCCGCGTCGGAAGACACCCCCTGGAAAATCTTCAACCGTGCCAACACAGAGTTTCTGGGAATTCAACGCCGAGAATCACGTCACTTTCGCGACCTGACCATTCTAAATCGTGCCAGAACACCGTTTCTGGAAGTTCAACGCCGCGAATCAACGTGGCTGTCGCGCCCTGGCAATCCTAAAGCGTTCCAGAACACAGTTTCTGGGACGTCTACCATAAGATTCCATGAAGCTGCTGTAAGCTGTTGAGACGAATGTGCGCGGCGCCTAAGCGAGAATTGCATTTCGGAAAGGAGCCCGCCCTCCATGCGTGAAACTGTTGCAAGCTTTCGAAAACGAGTGTGCGCGGCGCCGAGGCGATACCCACATTGAAAAACTGCCCGCCCTCCATCCGTGAACATCACCCACACGTTCAAGGCGAATGCGCGCGGCGCTAAGGGCCAGAACTTTGAAGCTTGCCCGCCTTCCATCCTGGAAACTCGTACAAACTTTTGGAATGAATGTGCGCGGCGCTGAAACGAGAACCCCATTTAAAAAATGCCCGCCCTCCATCCGTGAACCTCTTGCAAACCTTTAGAACAAATGTGGGCGGCGATAAGGCGAGACCCACATTTTGAAAACGACCGCCCTCCATCCGCGAAGCTCTTGCAGAGTCTCAACCCCAAAACTGTACCTGGTAAAGAAAACTTAAGCGAAACGCCCGGCCCGCCCTACCGACCCGTCTCGGGGTGCGACAGGGAGGAATTATTTATGAGGAGGGGGAGGAGGAAGGAGGAGGAAAGATGAGGAAGGAGGAGCAGGCCAGTGAGCCCGCACTGCAGGTCACTCTGGCGAATGGTCATTCTTTCGCGCAGCCGAGAAGGGCGAGCGCTGCCCCTGCAGGTGCCCGGGCTCGGCGAAGGGAACCTGAACGGGCGCAGGGGCGCGGAGGCGGAGGCACCCCCGCGGCGGCGGCCACCTCGGCGGCGGCCTGCGGTGGCACCTCGGCGGTTGCCACCTCGGCGGTGGCACCTCGTCGTCGTCGTCGTCGTCGTGGTCGTGGTCGTCGTCGTCGTCGTCGTCGTCGTCGTCGCCTTCGTCGTCGACCTCGTCGTCCTCGCCTTCCATGTCATGGTCGCCCTCGTCGCCCTCGCCGTCGTCGTCCTCGTCCTCATCGTCGTCCTCGTCCTCGTCCTCGCGGCTGCCTGCGAGCCGAAGCGCGGCGGCTCCCCAGCGGCGGCTGCGCTCGCGCTCATCCCCCCCCCCGCGGGCGGGGGGGGGGGGCGAGAGGCGGGGTGCCGAGCGGCGGGGGGTTCGCCGCGGCGGTCGGGCGGCCGCTGGCAGGGGGCGGAATGAAGCGGGAGGGCCTCGACTACATGCAAGAGTGACCTTCCTCCTCCTCCTCCTCCTCCTCCTCCTCCTTCTCATCCGCCTCCTCCTCCTCCGCCTCCTCCTCCTCCTCCTCCTCCTCCTCCGCCTCCTCCTCCTCCTGAGTAGGCTCCACGCACGAGTGACCCTGGGCAAGTGACCTTCTGTGCACGGCTTTTGGGGGGTCATGGGGGGGCCACAAACACAAGCGCGCAAGACGCTACTACCGCATCGCGTTCGGCGAAAGGTCACCCTTACGTGTAGTCGAGGGTTGCAGCAGGAACTAACCAATCCGGGCATGCCCAGGGGCCTGCCACGATATGTTCTTGGAGCAAGAAGGAATACTCTAAGAACGGAGCCCACGTTCTCAGAACACGAGGCCAGAGTACTGTGTACAACAAGACGGTCATAGCCAGAAGTATTATGATACCACTTCGTGCACACCACAAACGGTTCTTAGAACATTCTTTGGTGGGCCCGTGGGCAAGCCAGGACGCCTCGCCACATCATGAGGGGTGGATCAAGGGGCTCTGGGACACACACACACACACATAAATACACACACAAATACTCGGATCCCCCATCTTTTCCTATATTTTCTGGGTTGCTGTCTTCCCCTCCACTTCTCATGTGTTCCCATATTTTCCTGGGGATCGACGATTCATTGTGTCTGTGTGTTTCTTCCCCCCCTGAGTGGAGAGGCCCAGATCTCCGACCCTCTGATTTTTCAGCCCGCGGCTTCTTCCTCGACCTCGGCCTCGACGGGGCCCGTTCGCGGGCCCCGGGGCGATCTACGAGGGGGTTCGGGGCGAACGCCTACACTGAAGGGGCCCCAGGACACACAAATAAATACACACAAATAAAACGATTCCCCAAATTTTCCCATATTTCTTGGGTTTCTGTCTCCCCCCCCACTTCCCATATTTTTGCATATTTTCCTGGGAGTCGACGATTAATTGTGTCTGTGTGTTTCTTTCCCTCCTGATACACCTGGGGGGGGGGTCGGGGCCTCTGGTCGGTGGCTCGGAGATCTGGTACAGGCGAGGCCAATCCACAAGAATCCTGCCACAAGAAACCCAGACCTGAAACCCCAGGACGTCCCATGCATTGTTGGTGCGGGAACCGTCACGGCTTCCACGGCTAAACCATAGAAGCCCAGAAACCTATGGCACCCTGGAGGAGAGCAGGGTGTTTCCTCGCATGGGCCTCCACTGTTCTGAGGGGTGGGGTCCCATGGACGAGGTGCACCAAGCAATACAAATCCACCCTTGGATGCCTTCGTATCCTTAGGGCCGCATCCCTGAGGGCCCCATCGTTGAACCACCAATCTGGGACCGCGGATTCAAATAATCATACAGTCGACCTATATCAGAAGGATGTGCGATAAGGATGCAATGGCCTTGGAATGCCATGTCGGCACTTTGCGGACGGGGCGCGGCCAGCGAACGTGGCCAAGGATGGACCGAGGAGGCAAGGAAGCGAAGGTACCCTTTGGGAAATTTGCCCATCCTTGCCATGCGGGTTGGCTGTACCGGCGGATGTCTGGGGGCGTGCGCCTTTCCGGTACCTTTTTGGGTCCGCGCTGCTCCAGTTCTCGGGCACGCCGAAGAGGAGCGCCAGGAAGAGGAGGGGGGTGCGCATCACATTCCTCCTCCTCTCCTCCTCCTCCTCCTCCTACTCCTCCCGACTCCCCTCACCCTCCCTCCTCCCTCCTAGCCGTTCTGGCCTGGGCAGCTTGGGCTTGCAGCACCGAGCTTCAGAACGGCTTCCTGTTGCGGGCTAAGGTGGCTCGTTCCTGAATTTTTTCTCAGGTTAGGGGGCCTCAACCCATACCTTCTGTTTGTGAGCTCCTGCTGAAGCATCCTCTCACAACGTTCTGTCCAGAATCATGGCGGGAGGCGGCAAGGGCGGTGGCGCTGGTGGCAAGGGACGGTCTTCGTAGGCTCCTTGGCACTCGCGCTGGGCGTCCTCAAAGCCGGCAGCGGGTGAAGGCGTTCAGTCAGGTTCGAATACACCTAGGAAGGTCGAGACCAGCAATTGGTCGCCCCTGGTGTCCTGAGCGGCGTTTGATTATCATGATGATGGTCCTTCCCCGGGTCGTTGGAAATGTGAGTGGTGCAGGTGCAAGCATAACGATCGGTGGTTTACTTTCTGTAAGCACTGCAGGGCTCCAAGGAATGCAGCTCCCCCGTCCTATTCAGATTGGGAATCTGGCTCGCGGGGCTTGCCTCCAACGGGAGGGTGGGCCAAAGGTGGTGGAGCACGGCAAGCACTCACTGTGGCGCTGGTCTCTGGCCCCCAGGGCCGCCAGCGGGTGCCGAAGAGTGTGGCGGCCCTTACCATCAGCAAGCTCGACCCCTTCACCACCCTGCATGAGAAGGTCGGCAACACGGCGGAGGCGGCTCGGTGCAAGGCTGAGTTGGCTGCTCTTCGACCTCCTCAGCAGGCGCTCGTCCCCATCGAAGACCT